CACCCCTTCGACGGTCCTCGACATACCGCCACCGCCCCCAACGGGTTCCGCTTGTGATAGAGAAAGGAGTGAAATAGGGAAGAAGAGACAGAGAAGGAACACTCTCTTCTTTTTTATCGGCGCCGTGCGTCGCTGCTTGCTCGTTCGGCTGGGTGCGAACGCATTGTCGAAGAAATGGCTGGTAGACGGGACGATATTTTTCTTCATTTCGGATGAAAATTTCTTAAGTATTTTTCTGTTTAAATCATCATTTTAATGATTATTAAACTAACTGACAATAAATCGATAACAATGAATGAAGATAAAATACATAATCATTGTGCGTATATCTATTTAATGCACAATTGTAAATTTACAGTACATTTTTTCAAATTAGAAGCTTTAATAAATTTCTCTCAATAATAATATTTTTTTTAATATATATTATACAAAATATATCTGATAGAATTTTGATCTGATTCGTATCTAAATGTGTCGATAGGATAAGCTTTGAAATTATTTTACAATTTTATAATCTAATAAGTTTAATATTATTAGTAGTTCAAAATTAAATTTAATTTTGATGATATAAAAATTGTTTTATTCTGAGTATCTATGTATATTTGCTACTTCAAATCGTCCATGTTGATGTTTAAATAATATATGACCAGAAGAATGGAAAAAGATAAAATATTTTATAGTATCAAAGAATACATTAATATGTTGCAACTGTAAAATGATATGAGCCGTATACTTAGTGACTATATCCACTCAAGGGCGTGCAACATTATCTTTGCAATTTGCCTGGTTTTCAAGCTCAATTCTACTCTCCTTGTCTTGCACACTTCTAGACTACTTTCTCTTATAGTTCCTTGGTAAAACTTCTCGACAGAATCTTGTAGAAAAAAAAAGATGCGGTAAATTATACTTAAGTACTCCTTCTAATGGACTGTAAACCGAAGCATTTGTGTGTATCTATATTTGCAGTCCTGCGCTAACGACGTAAAGTAAAATCCACTTGTCGACTTTGTAATTTAATAATCACGAAAGAGCGCAAGGAGGATAGAATCCGAGATTCAAGCCACTGAGCGCGGCAGGACGAAATTATTTATCTTCGTACATTAAACCGCATAATAATGATTGCACTATTTCAGTATCCCGTGCTATCAACCTATCTCCCGTGTCATGTTGCATCTACACCGCGATCGTTTCAGACTTATCAAAATACACCTAGGGCGTAGTTTTTAACGTCTTCCATGTTCCTGTCGCACGCCATGAACGAGAGCCAGGGCTTTATATACGCGCACTTGAGAAATAGAAGTTCTCGAGTCGGGTGAATTTTAGTATGGTATCGGAGAATATCGTATGTATGCCTTCCTCTATCGTGGGCGCCGACCGAAAGTAGAAACGCGTTACGATACTGCGTAGTGACCGTATTGTGGGAGCGTATTCAATGGCGCTCCGCCATTTAACACCCTGGCAAGCCGCGAAGTTTCCTGCAATGAAAGCACCGGCGCGGAACCTATTGTGAAAATATCTGACCACTGTCCGGTGCAATGAGGTATGGCCGTTCTCGGGAGTGTTGGCTCGTCGAATACAATGGCGCGCGCGGAGTGTACGTGCACGGGGCCGGTTACGTGTGCACATGCAACGACATCGACCGAAAATATTTCACGCAAGCGCCACTAAAGAGACATAAACGCACTTAACGACAGGTCCACGTCGTGATATACAAACCCGCGTTACAGTCCATTTTAACGGCACCGAAATATTAATCGGCACCGACGCCAGGATTATTCACGTGCCGCTCGTGTTAAAATAATTCTTCCTCACCGATTCTGAAAATTATTAGTCGCACCGGTGATATAATGAGCTAGTCGCGGGATTTAAAGAAACAACGCGAATAAATGATCGAATTATCGCTCAACGGCGAGACCGTATCGTTACTATGTAGATCAGGAGAAACGCTCGCTCGATGAGGCATTGACTCAGCTCAGTAGCCAACTTTTGTTTCTACGGATTATTTTAAGTTAATTGTATGGAGATGGGTTGCACAATTAAATATGTAAATAAGATAAAACATTTATCGATTAAAGCTTAATTACGACAATGATAAACTTGTAAAAGTTGACTACAGCGATAAAATTATAGACACGGTCTTATATATCATCTTACAAAGTACTGCGTTGTAATGTGTTCTACTTTCTCATTTCATAATTTTATTTTTATAGCTTTTTTATCAATTTTTGTGATCTGTAAAGATATTTGTTAAATCATTATATCATTATAATAATGGAACCAAGACTTTTGTCTCGTTACTACTGTTACTACTGTTACTACTGTTACTCATTGTTAAGAGCAAAGGACACACAGAGAGAGGAAGAAAGATTGGGTTCAAAGAATAGCAATGAAGCAAAAAGGAAGCGAGAGAGAAAGAAGAGGGAGAACCAAAGAGCGGTAATACAGCGCGCGAGGGTAATCATGGGAGCGAACAAAGTACGACGGTGAGAGAAGAGAGCGCAGACTCAATATCTCCGAACCGAACCGAACCCTCCGATAGGTCGAGGTTCGACTTCGAGGGTGGGAATAGATTTCCAATCGCGCGGGGGGTGGTCCTACAACGGCTTGGATGCTCGCTCACCACGCAGCACCCCCAGTAAACTCCTGCCCGCCTGGCGTCGGCAGAGGGGTCCACCCTTTCCTGTATCGATGGACCAACGCACCTACACGCACCACCCCCTTCCACCCCGCATACGTTACGGAAGTGCTACACCCCCTTTCGGACTCTACGTCGTCAGGACAGACTGCCTGCGGCGAGACGGAGAGAGCGCCGGAGAGGAGTGGCGGATCAGCACGAAGAGGAGACACAACTCTATTGACCAGGGTTCGATGCGCGCATCTGGGCGTAACCCATTCGTTCGTTCCGTCGGACCAGAGAGAACGAAGAAGAGCAAGAGAGAGAGAGAATGTGAAATAGAGAAGGAGTAGTAAAGCATCGGTAGGAGAGAGAGGGGAAGAAAGAATGTGGGAGGTAGAACGGCAAGAGGGCCAGAGAGAGAGAGAGAGAGAGAGAGAGGAGGGGGAGAGGGGGGGAGGACGGA